GTTGATCTATTTGGGAGTTACAATCGATACTAAGCTGGAGGCGGCATATGAAGGAGGTGGCGTACAGCGGTTTGGGGTTCGGAGCGGGTAGTGAGGCGTCTGAAGGTAATCGCATTTCCCGACTGGTGATCATGCAATGTGGCGTTTGCCCTATCGCCGTCTGGATTGTGGCTCTGTACGCTAACAAACACCGAGGTAGTGCCGTGTCCCACTGGTCCACTGTCTCGTGATTGATGAACGCCTTCAACAGGCCCTTCAACGTGCGGTTTGTTCTCTCTACCATACCATTACCCTCCGGATGGTACGGGGTAGTTCGCGTTTTGCGGATTTTCAAGATGTGGCATATTTCACGAAACAGGACACTGTCGAAGGCTGCACCTTGGTTTGAGTGTAGTTGGTAGTTGGTTGGAACGCTCCAACGAGCAAACCATTCGGTGAACACTGCCTTCGCCACGGACCACGCGTCAGGCTTCGCCAATGGTACTGTCTCGCACCACTTTGTGAAGTAATCCACCATGACCAGGACACAGCGGTTCCCGTTTCAAGTGATGGGTAGTGGACAGATGAGGTCGATTCCCACGATCTCTTTCGAAAAGCCAGCATTCATTGATTGGAGTGGCGCGCGGGATTTCACCTTGGGATTTTTGATCTGGCCGCACACGGTGCATAAATTGCACAAAAGGGCTAAATCGCGTCTCGTGTGCGTCCACAAAAAGCGTTTTTTGGAAGCGTCGACTATTTTTTTCTGGCCTGCGTGTCCGAGTTCTTCATGTAGTGGTTTTACGACTGCATTGACTGACGTGGGGGGCACAATGATACATCGTGTGTAAGCGGATCCGGTATGTTACACGAGGACCCCGTTCACCAACCTCAAGTTGGGCCACATCGCCCACACACACCTCGCTAAGTAGCTGCTCCCCGCCATCTCCTGTGCTGTCGGTCGAGTTTGGAGCCCTTGGAGGTGGCCATAAACCATACGTAAATCGGGGTCGTTTGATTGAGTTTTAGACCTTAATGATTGATGGTGAAATAAATTTATCTGTGTGTTGCTCCTATACTGACATTACTCGATCACAAACAACATACATCATTATTTATCTGTTAATTCGATGCCCAGCACATTTGAATTTGGCGTGGTCAGAGAACGTGAGTGACTGTTTGCCTCTCTCTGGACATCATAATTGGCTCGCTTGCTTGAGTGCTTTTGGCTGCATGTTTGAGGTTTGCTTTATTGTACATTTTGTAATGATTTCGCTAATTCAGTACCGTAGAACATTACGGATCAATCGTGTTTTATTTCGGGATTCGTATCGGTTCGGCTACGCGTCACTCAAGTGCGAATTGGTTGACTTACTCTACTCAAATTGGAATCAAACGAGAAAACTATTTTGAAGATGCCCAGACGATGAACCAAGGAAACTGGAACCCAACAGGAAGTCACAGCAAGTCACTGGGTGGGGGGCTGTGGGTCATTTTGATTCCTTAGAAAATGTTAGATCTGTTAGTCCTGTCAGTGCTGTTTCATGTGTAGATTCAGTTATTAAGGATATTGATATATTTAGATTGCGGGTTTCTGAGTTAGAGCATGAGTTGAGATTAGCTAGACAGCAGATAGAACAGGCCAAACGTGAAAGAACCGAATACAACGGCACAACAGCACCTCGAGCTGAGACTGCAGACCGTGGCTTCCCTCCGAATAAAGAATTCGCCCCTCAGCAAAAAGCGTATGCCCACGTAAACGTCGATTTGCCAAGAGTCGAACTGACACCTTTCGATGGTAACCCCGAACAATATTGCCAATTCATTCGCGAATAAGAAAATTTTGTTGAATGCAAAATCTACGAGGCAAGGCAAAGATTTCTGTTTTTGCTACACTACTGTCAGAGAAAGACCAGAGAGACTATATAAGGGTGTGCTATGCTGGCCCCGGGATTGGGCTACCCGAGAGCCAGAAATATACTGAAGGAAATGTTTGGCCAACCATTCCGATTCCCAAGAAACATGATTAACGGGGTGCTAGCAGAGGCGAGGCGCACAAGAGGCGATACTAGGTCTGTAGCGAACCTGGTCATCAAGATGCAGAACTGCAGCATCGCCCTAAACCAGCTCGAATATCGGTCGGACCTGGATGCACTTCACACGCTGGTATCGATTGCCAGATGTTTCCCGGCCGAAAAGCAGACAGCCTGGGCGACCGAGGCTGATCGAATCGAGAAAAGGAACAGAGAGGCGACATCTACTGGTTTCTGCTCATCGGCCATCGGACATTTGTGATAAACAATAGTATTGCGCAACTGAAAAGAACCCGGGGGCAAGAAG